ACAGCTGTGGTGGTCTTTGCAGAAGGAGATCCTGACTCTAGAATGGACATTTTTATAAGCTGAACCAATTTGAAGGGCTGAGAACCCAGCAATCTTCTCCATCAGATACTGTTTTCTGAATATCTGTGTTGGTTTGGAGAATTTGAACGTTGCCAAACTAGATCTGAAGGAAATGACTTGGTAGAATTGTATTGGGAATGAAGTTGAGATGGTCATTGTTACCCTGTCTGAGAACCTGAACATCTTATTTTGACAAATTTATGTGTGAAAAATGTGATGCACTTTGGGGGGGGAGGGGGGGGGAATTACCTTTTACTTAATTGGGCTGAGCTGGCTTATCTGAAGTTGTGCAGATTCTCTTTAATCAGATTGTCCACCTGTATTTTTGTCAAGTTGTACAGATAACGCTGTATTTGAATTGCCACTGTTCATCTACAGACTTAAAACATGAATCATATTTTTCAGTACCTTGAGTGTGTAGAGTGTAACTGTTTGTTCTATAATAGCTTTATGATCCTAATGGTAAGTTTTAAAAATTAAAAGAAGTTGGCTCTTCCATGTTACAATCACAAATTTAAAACCAGTATTTAAAAGTGAAAAGTATTAAAAATTATGAAGAAAAAACCTGGTTTGTAGTTATTTTTAACTTTCAGTGCTTTGGAGAAACTCATTTAAAACATTTACCTTCTAACCAACTTTTAGATCATGTGTAAAGCTATGTACAATATTATAATGTATGGAAAACATTTAACAGGAAAGCAGTTTGCTTGTATTACTGAGGTTACTGAGATGAAAACTTGAATGCCACATTAGTTTATATGTCAAAAAGCTCATTTTGTGCTAGCGTATCAGAGGCCATGTTAAAAGATGTTCCTGTATGGTATAGTCTTAATATAGAACATTTCCAAAGTAATGCAGCTCTTGTCTTCTTTTGTACAGAATTAACAGCAATATGGAAGTTTCCATGGGAAGAATAGAGATTCAGGACTGAGGAGTGCCAGAGGATAAACTTGTGGCTTTTTCTAAAGTATGAAGAATTTTTCAGACCTGAGATGGGCTTCTGTAGAGCAAGCTTTCTTAATAGCAGAAATAGCTGGTACCTAATGGATCAATAACAATCCTACCTTTATTTGTTATGCAGGGATTTCTACTTTTTATACGATAGTAAAGTTGTAGAAACCTTACAAGTATGCAAGACTGGAGGAACAGCTTGAAATAATAGAAGGCATTACTTGCACAAAAAAAACCCTTAAGCTCAGCTACATCAGGCCTGGGTAGTACATTGCAACAAATACGGAGTCCTGAGGTAAGCCCTGCCCTTGAAGAATGCAGCTATTTTAGCTGTCAAAAAGAAATCCCCCATGACAAAATAAAAAGAATACAGTCGCATTCTTGGTCCCGTATGTTAATGTGTGCAATTTAAAAAATACGTACTTTCCAGTAAGGAGAGGTTGAGCATTTCTGTTGCTTTCTGTATCACTACAATATAATTTGACCCTAGATAATGAACGATAATTAGTTGGGGTTATGCCATCCAATTTACCAGTGTGTATTACTGATAGTATTGCTATTATCTTTAGTCTTCAGCTATAAAAGCTATGTTTCATAGGAGAAGAAAAGTGTATTTCATTAGATAAAAGAAAGGGATATACTTCCTGAGCATTAGGTGCCTGGAAGTGTCCATTTTTCTTTGGCTGTAACCATTGATGCAGTAAGCTTTTTTCCTCTGCACACCTGCCTCTTTTATGCATGTGCTGTGACTAGAATAAGGAAGGCTGGTAATGTGGATTGCTGCAATTTTTCAGGTTTAAACTAATTCTCCTTAAAAAGAACTATTTTAAATTAGAATCATAGAATCATAGAATCATTAAGGTTGGAAGAGACCTCTAAGATCATCGAGTCCAACCGTCGACCCAACACCACCATGCCCACTAAACCATGTCCCTAAGCGCCTCATCTACCCGTCTTTTAAATACTTCCAGGGATGGGGACTCAACCACTTCCCTGGGCAGCCTGTTCCAATGTTTAATTACTCTTTCAGTAAAGACATTTTTCCTCACATCCAATCTACACCTCCCCTGGCACAACTTGAGGCCATTTCCTCTTGTCCTTTCGCCAGTTACTTGGGAGAACTACCTCAAAGGTTGAGGGGCAGGGGAAAGTTGTTTGCTTTCTTTTTACTTTAAGCTGGAAAAGTTCAGAGTTAAATTTAAGTCTTTCATGTTCAATGGACTTTCACATGAAAAGGAAGTTACCTATATTTTAAGCACTGGATACAAGGTTGCAAGTTTTAAAATGAGTATTAGTTTCTCCTCTGAGTTACAGTTTTGAACACAATTATTATTCAGTGACATGCAGTGATTAATATATTCGTAGAGAATTTTATAAAATCGCAAACTAATGATTGCATTAAATGAACCAGCCGAAAATGTTGTGCTATTTTGTTCTTTGTGCATCTTGCCTTGCCTAATCAGTTAAAATAAGGTAATTTTTTGAACGTATTAAGAACATCAAATTAACCATGAAAAAGAAAAAGAACATAATTTCAGTTAGAGAATATTCAATTCATTTAAAAAACAAAATTATGATAAAGTTGGAAGACTCCATGACACCTTCGCTGGAGATGCACATGAACTGCTGACCAGCACTTGCAATTTCAGCAGGCCGGCCCATCGATCCAGCCTGTCCAGGTCCCTCTGCAGAGCCTTCCTACCCTCGAGCAGATTCACACTGCCGCCCAACTTGGTGTCATCTGCAAACTTGCTGAGGGTGCACTCGATCCCCTCGTCCAGAGCATTGATAAAGATATTAAACAGAACTGGCCCCAATACTGAGCCCTGGGGAACACCGCTTGTGACCGGCCGCCAACTGGATTGAACTCCATTCACCACAACTCTCTGGGCCCGGCCGTCCAGCCAGTTTTTGACCCAGCGCAGAGTACACCTGTCTAAGCCGTGAGCCGCCAGCTTCTCCAGGAGAATGCTGTGGGAGACGGTGTCAAAGGCCTTACTGAAGTCCAGGTAGACCACATCCACAGTATTAGTATTTTTATTTTTGAGAACTTAGACCAAGCAATAGTCAGACCTGTTGTCATCTAAAGTGTAAAAACTTCAATTAGGAACTTTCCATTCAGTCTCCTTTTTCTTGAGCTGGTCTGCCTGAAATTCCATGTGGGATTTTCCTACCTATCACCATTACATTAACACCAACCTTCTGTGATTTGTTTGTCCCTCCACTTAGAAGCTCCGAAGGAAAATTACCAAGTGAGTTCCTTTCAGATGCAAGGGGAAGGACCTGTGTACTGAATGTTTTCTGTGTGTCTTCACACTGAAAACTACATACCCTTTGAAAAGCTGGCATACCATGTTCAACTTCTCTGATCCGTTGGACTTCTAAAACTTGCTCGTGCCGCAAGAGACGAGCCATGGATCGTGGAAGTCTGTGGCACGCAATTCCTAACCAGCGTTACAGTGGCAGGATATGACAACAACCCCGAGGATTCCCACCTGCCGGGGTGGGACTGCAACTGAATCGCGGAGCAACCCAGCAAGTTCAGCTCCTGGGTGCAGGCGGAGCTCTGGGACCCACCCCTCACACCCTGGGGAAGTCATGCCCTGTCACAGCATCCTAAAGAATTCCAGACTCGAAGGCCCAGGGATAGCGTGCCGTCTCATGAGGGTGAGTCATGCCTGAGTATGAACAAAAGAATTGTAGGTGTGTCCGTACCCTCCGGAAAATATCTCAAGCCGAGGTAACGAGCAGTCACACAGGTCACCTCATCGCTTGTACCCTGCTGGAAAATCACTGCTGTGTATTCAACGTAATGGTGTTCTCCAGCTGGTGTTCGAGCACTCGGTTGTCCCCACACCCCTCACGTAGAGCTTGCATCGGCGGAATGCTGGAGACACCGCACTCAGTGAGCACTAATCCAGTTGTCATGGCTTATCTTGTCCAAACGCAAGTGTTCAAAAAAAGCCTTTTAAGTTAACAGTTACATTTTGAAGCTTTTTGTGGGAGTGGTCTTTGCCTTTAGTTGTTACAGCGTTGTGTGGTGCTAAAGGGTGTCAATCTCTCTGACAGAGGTTGGTGCATTTTAGTAACGGGTAAAACGGTTGCCTTCTGCAAAGAACTTGAGAAATTTAAATAAGCTGCTTTATCTTTATTGGTTTTCCCAACCTTTTTTTTGTTTGAACTGTATTTGAAAACTCTCAAACCGAACTCAAATATCATTGAAATATAAGGAGGGTAACTAACCATCCTACTATCAAGAGAAGTGCTAAATAAAATCATCACTGGTTCAATTAGCAGCTCTATGATGCTCTTAATTGTTCAATGTGTCATTTTTCAATATCGCTGTCAGGTGTGAGAAGTCTAATAATAAAAATCCCATGTAATTTACTGCTTTCTCAAGACTGCCGTACCCAACTTCAGTGAAAAAGATGGAACAGCATTAAAAGATTTGAAAACCTCTTGCAACTGTAATACTGCTAAATTGTTTTCCAGTTCTAACTTTGGTTATATCAGAAACAGTTTCGCTAAAGTGAAACTGCCTTGTCTCCTAGCTGGTGTCCTTGCCCTGTGCCCTAGCTGTTCCTGTTACATATACTATTACTTTACTACTCTACTGTAAATAGGTGTACACTTGCTCTTTTATACTGTGTAGTTCTGGGCTTATGCTTGTGTTAAGCAACACCTCCTGCATTAAAGGATATTAACTTCACGTATTACTTAAAAGAAGAAAGCATGACTGGGTAGGATACACGAATGGTGCTTTTAAAAAACCCCAAAAGCAGCACTGGGATGTGGGTACACAGAAGGATGAATTCCAGTAAGCGCAACATTTCTGGAGTGTTAGGCAATACGCCTTCTAACAGGTATCTCCCCAACAGGAGAAGGAAAACTACCACTATTAGCATTTATTGATGCTTTGAATGGCATCAATTTAAAGCAGCGTCCACTTTTGTTCACATCCACCAGTGAAGGAAAAAACCACTCAGTAATTGCAGTTGACAAAACACTGATGTGTAGTCCTTTATTCCCCTCTCCCTGTTTTGATTTGCCCTCAAAAGGCATTTTAGAAGAACACCCTCTTCAGGAACACTAAAAAAACCAATGCCTTAACTGTGCAGCTTTTCAATTACATTAGCCTTTTGGGGTCAATTTTTTCCAGGTGCACTAGAGGCTTCAGTTGCTCAGCAAAGTTCCTCATGTCGTCAGAAACGACGTCCTGTCCTGCTGGCGCTACCACGTTGAGCTCCACCAGGTAGGAGAGGGAAAGCGGCTCGATGCTCTCCGTGTTTCCCGGCATTAGGATGCGGAAGATCTTGTACACGACGATTTTCATGATGCCCTTGCGGAACACGTGCCCTTTGGCCACAAACTCGTGGTCCATGCGGAAGCCCATCTCCACCAGAAAGTCTGTCAGGTTGTCCGAAGTAGCGATGTCTACGCAGTTGCGCACCAGCGCGTGGCGGTTCTTATCGCCTATTTCTGGCTGGCCCAGGTAGCGCAAGTGCCAGGGCATCCCGCTCTTGTCCATGGACCGCCGCGCCCGCAGCACGAAGGGGCTGGGCGGCGGGCCCCTCACCCCGGACACCAAACCCGGGGC